CACACACACACACACACACACACACACACACACACACACACACACACACACACACACACACAAATGTGCATCTGCCTATGTGACTTGTTCATGTATTCAGAGGGGGCTTCCTGAAATGGAAAAGACAGCTTTCTTTCTATACTAGCTAATTTAGCTTTCACCTCCTCATTTCTGCAGTAGAAGATGACATTGACATTTGGTCTTTTTGGACATTTCTTTACTGTGATTTCTGTGTGTGTTTTTCCTTTGTTGCCAAGCAGACATACAAAGAGGAGGGACCTCGCGGTTTTTATCGAGGCTGTGGTACGAACTTGTTCCGGACAACTCCGGCTGCTGTGGTGACGTTCACGAGTTTTGAAATGATAATGAGACGCCTTCATAACTGGTATCCATCTTCTCAGTCCAGAGTGGAATCGTCCCCGCCAAACCCAACCGTTTCACCCCCGTCTTCGCGTAAAGGGGAGCTCGAGATCCAGCGGCACAATCTCATGGGCGCAAAGGTGACTCCGTTGGGGTTTGCTCGGCACGAGGTTCAATCCATTCCTGTCTCTACGAGGGTATCATAACGGTAAGAGAACATGGACTGCTGTCCATGCTGTGATTGCCGTTGAATTCTTTGCCTTTGTGCGCCTTTTGTGAGATCGAGGAGAGGAGACAGGGGGTGGTGGCATGCCATGGACAAGCACCCAGCGATAGACCATCCCTCTACTGCACACGAGGACAGGGTTCATTGCAGAGTGGTAGGTCATAAATATGTGTCACATTCTTGCTACGACACACGTGCTTTCAATCTTCTGCAAATGGAGAATGCAATGCAAATGACATTATGCGCTATTTCCTGCTTTGTTCATGTTGTTGATCAGGACATGGGAATGATGAACGGAATCCGACAATTATGAGATACTTGTTGTTCAACGCAAACGCAGGCGCAGCGAGCCCTGCCTGTCCTCGTTAATCTCCCACTTCCAACTGAGCAGGGCCTTTGGAAGAGTCAACTGGCATCAGGTAACGGCGCATCACCGGGCACTAAGAATAGGACTTGATGGCAGCGAGAGGTGTTCGTGGATTAGCTGCTGCTCGAATGCCAACATCGTCGACGTGCAGTGTAGGTGAGTGAACCCTGAAACCCCGTGTGGCATAAACCCGTCCATGAATGTATGTAAGAAAGAAAAATGCCCAAACATCAGAATGCGATCTGTGTACTTTGGCGGCTCACACAAGGCGGGGGTCCACCTGTCCTGGGCCCATCGGTAGCTACCGCCTTCCCCCGAATAGAACGTATGGTCATTATGTCTGTATTTGGCCCAATTTCCAGTCCCGATGCAGCGACAATGACAGTACGTTGCAGCGTATCCCTAGTGTTTCCCCACAGGGGCTTTTTGAAAGAGTCGCCCAGAGAAACGAATAATGGTGCGTCCACAACGAGTAACCGTAGTAGTATTTGGAGGTAAAAAGCGTGGCGCAGGTGGTAGAATGGTCGACGAAAAGCACAAAGACATTGGACTTGTCTTCGCCGGATTGGGGAGGATGCACAGGGGAGGTGGATGATGGTAGTTCAGCATGGGCTGTTTCCGCAGTTGTGAAACGACTGTAGGAATGCCGGAGTACGACAGCACGATGGCACGCGTTTCGTAGGCTTCCCCCGGCAACAGATCGCCAAGCTTGCAGGATGTAACTCTTCATGGACCTGTGGCACGCGGCGCGGGCTTATGGATTGGTGTATGATGACGTGTGTGTACCTCTGAATGGACTTTGCTGGGGATCACAATGGGACACAGTAGGACATCATGTGCTGTGGATCACAGTGGGACAAAGCAGATCCCAAGGCGCTGTGTACTTTGGTTGTGCGAGGACACCTGTATCATCTCAGTAGCAGCGGTAGCTGGCGTTCATGACTATGGTGTGTGCACCACCTATGCTCCTCCTCCTCTGGTACTTTGAAAAAGTCTGAATCGAGTTGTCTGGTTCCGACCGACGATGCAAGGCCCGTTTTTTTTCTGGCCCTCCTGCTGGAGTGTGAAGAAGTTTTGTAAAGAGCTGCAGCCAGAGGAGTCCCAGCTGGTCCTCTCTTCAGTGCTCTGGCCAGCTCAGCAAATAAGAGGGG